GCTTACACTTTCTTGAGATTCACTCTAATCCCCTCTGCTAAAACTATACGGCCAAAAAAAAAAATTCAGAAAACCATAATTCACACTTTAACAATTTTGCATATGCTATTTCTCTTTTGAAGAGTTGGAAGAACAATGTGAAGAATTGCATCATATTCTTCTTTTATCTTTACTGTCGAAACAATTTTTTTTCTTAATTGAGATTTAAAACAAAACACACCATTTTTTTAATTTATCTCATTTATTAATTTTTAATTAAAAAGTAAGTGATTTTTAAAAAAATTCTCGTTTCAAAAAATTTGAGATTCCTTTTAAAAATAAAAATTAAGGTTCGAAGAGTCACCATCAATCTTTGATTAGGGTGTGATTGGACACCCAAAAACATATTTTTGTCATTTTAATAAAAATATTAATTTTAATTAATTCAACAAATTTAAGGTCTGTGTTACCAAATTTGAGTTCGGAAATCGGTTACGTGTGGGAAAGGATTATCACCCCCACAAAGCCCTAAATCGGTACCTAGTCGATTAATTAATGTCTTTGCAATGAAATTTACAAGTTCAAATTTAATTTAATTTATGATCTCATAAAAAAAAAAAATATGAATTTTAAAATGAAATATAATAATATTTAATTATTTCCTATCGAGAATAAAACAAACCCCTCACCTTGAGGCAATCAATTCTTACTCTAACCAAATAAAGAAATATTATAATTCCATTATAATATTCAAATACACCAAAACATATTAAAATAAAATTACCAAGCCTTTTTAGAAAGAAGAAGAAGATTATTTAAAAATATCGAGATCAGACCTTAGATAAGTTCTGACAATCTTTTCTCGAAGAATCTAAATGAACGAATATTTCTTATTCTCCCATTCCCAAATTTTAGGTGAAGAATCATTTTTAGGTTTCACTGTTGGGATATATTTTCAATTTAAAATCATTGAAAGTGACTTTCTAATAAGTTAAGAGAAGCTCCTCACAACGATTTAAAATAAAAGAGAATTACCCTTAATCCAATTATTTGATGAGGGTCGAGTTATGCACATGAGGGTTTCATAAATCTCAAACAAAAATGATGTCATGCAATTTATAATGAATTATTTGCATACTCATACATATAACATATCATCATACGAAATAAATATAAACAACTAATTAAAGAAATCAATCCTAACAATGGACTTAATTAAAATAAATTTAGATGTAATGACTTAATCCAAAAGATGAAGTAATCTAAATTAGGAAAAAAGTATCTAAGACCTAAATCTAAAGATTCAATTTAAAACAAACATAAAAAGCAAATGACTTAAAAACAACACATATCAATGATAGAGACTAAACCTAAACTAAGGCTCTAATTAACCATAATTATTTAAGATATGCTATCTAACCTAGGGATAAATTCTAAAATCTAAATAATATCAAGGAAATAAGAAAATAAATTACTCATGCAACAAAATTTCTCATGTGAATTTAAATATGAAAAAATAATCTTACTTAATACGATTCGAAAGAAATAAAATGGATTTTAATTAGCACTTAGCAATTTAAACAAATAAGGGATTAAATTGAATAATTACTAAATCAATTAGGGATTAAACAGGAACTAACATGCAATTAAAATTAAGGATGAAATTGAAGTAAATTAAAATCAACCATATGAACAACAAATACAAAAGTTAAAATGTAAAAATTCGCTAAAATACAAGTATTAACAGAATTAAGCCAAATAAATTAAACAGGAAAGCAAATATGTAAATAAAAATTCAGACAAATAAAAAGGATCAATTTCAAAAATAGTCATAGAGGTGATTATTTGAAAAAATGTGCTGAAATTAAGGGAACTGAAACATTATTTACCCTTGAGATTTGGTGGCTAAAATAATAATTAACACAATTTTTTATATAAAACCTAATTAAAAACAAACCTAAACTAAACTAATCACTTTTAGCAACACAACCGGCCACTTTCTCTCTTCCTCTTGCTCTCCCCTTCGTTCGAAACCTTTACCAGAGCCTCCATCGCCACCGGTCGGTGGCCAGGTGACCTAAACCGACCACCAAACTCATCACATCCCTCGCCTCACTCTTCTAACCTCGGATCTAAGGTCTTAAACACAAAAACGAATCTTTAAAAGCCTCAAAGAAACCTTCGATCTCTCGGCTTCACTCTAAGCTTACGAATGGTGGCTCTCCATTTCTCCATTTACGGGCTTCAAACGGCAGAGCCCTCACACTCAGGTAAAATCGATTAAACCCTCCCTTCATACTATTTTTTAACTCTCGACCGAAAGCCCCAATGGTTCCCTGTTCTCGCCGGCCACCACAAATCAGTGGTTATTTCACCTCTAACCGCCTCCTCAAATCACCATCAACACATCCCCTAACCTAGAGAACCACTTTCACAACATCTACGCCCTGAGACCAAACGATCGAGACCGCATAACTGAACCGGTAACGTAGCTCCTTTATTCCTATTATTTTGTTTGGTTCGAACATGCTTTGAATAATGGGAGGGTTGTTGCTGAAATATGATAATGGTTGAGTACCTAAAGAAAATATTGTTCTACTGCTGATTTTGGTTTGAATAAAAGAAAAAAAAAAGAACAAAGAAAATAATATATACCTTCAAAAAAAGCTCTGTTTTGTATTCTTTTCGTATGAGGATCAACTATTACAATGGTTATGCTTTTCTTCAATGGAGGCTGAGTAAGCTGTTACAAATGTTCCTTTCAAATGGGGACTGAGAACCTCTCGGTACACTACCATTTTTAGGGAAAGGAGAAGATTCTTTACAGTATTCTCTCTTTTCTCGTTACTCTCTTAAAAAATTGCTCCTCCCTCTTCATTTTTTGTTCATCCTTGCTCTAGTGGTTAATAAATGAAAAAAAAATGGCTTTTCTTTTCTGTTTTTTTCCGAATCGTTCCCCTCATCCTCTTCAAATTGGGACTGGATAAATAATAACTCTCTCTTCGTAATGCTTGTTACCCCGCCTCCTAATAGATTCGGCTACGCATGGCCAGTTGGAGGCATGAGGAGAAGCTTTTGAAATTTGCCATAGCTGGCGTGGAGGAGCACGTGCTTGAGACCGTCCAGAGCTTCTCGACTCTTCTGGAACACTTATTTAGCTGCTGGTTATGAGTTGGAGCAACGGGGGGATCAACGTGGCTGCCCTGCTGGATGGAGAGGTGCTGCTGAAGGCTTGGGGTTACTGCTGGTGTGACCATCCACTTGGAAGTCCTGGTTGATAGGGCTGCTATTTTTTGCCTCTGTTATTGAGCTGCTTTGTAATTACATTGTAAGTCGGGCCTGTAAAAATAACACATTTAATTTGTGCACTAACGTTTATCATAATATATTATATATGTATATGTATAATTAATTTCATTTACGCATAAATATATATGTATGACCATAAACAAAACTAATATGTAATCCTAAGTAATTATAAAGTAATGATTAATTTTACTACTCTTTGTGAAGACTTAAGATTAATTTGTTTCACTATTCTTCTGTGAAGATTTGAGATTGATTTGCTTCGAAGCTCGAACATCTCCCTTCTTTGGAGTTTCGATTGGTTGATGACTCCTTCAAGTCCTTTTAATCGATTGATCCGCTTCTGTGTACCTGAGAATATTTTGTTTTCCTCCTACATCTGATTATCCATACGAAAGCATCTCGTCCAAAGGTTTTATAGATGGCCCGAAAGACTTGTCAACTTGCTCGGAAGCCTGATAGATGATCGGAAGAATTTAATCATCATGATCGGAAGGCTTATTGATGGCTCGAAGGACTTATCCATTTTGAAAATAATTTATTGGGTAAGAAACTTTGGAAATCGACTTCTTACTTTTCAAAAATTTCATTTTATTTAAACATGAAATGAGAAACTTTAGAAATCACTCTCATTTTTTGAAAGTCACGTGAAAACATCTTACCCGGAGGACTTATCATCTTGCTCGAAAGCCTGACAGATCACCCGAAAGATTTAATCATCATGCTCAGAGGGCTTACTGATGGCCCGAAGGACTATCGATTTTGGAAATAATTTACTAGGTAAGAAACTTTCACTACAAGAAAATATACCTTTAATCACACACGAACGATGACACATACTAATTTATGACTTGCAAAATATGTGTGTCATAAAAAAATGTCATGTTTTTTAAAATCTGAACGATTTATGACTTACAATAATGTCATATTTAATAGTCATAATTCAAAAATTTTACAAAAAACAGAGTATAGTTTTAATTGTGTGTCATCTTTAGGAGTCGTTTTCTAATTTCTCCCCAATTATTTTCATCATTTCCCGCTTCTTCCTGTCGATAATTATCAGTTCACGCCGCTTCTTCCAAAGGTATTCCTCGTTCTCTATTCCACCATTCAATTTGGGTTTCTGGTCTTAGGAATTATTGTTATATTCATGTGAATTTGAGATCTCTCAAGATTGCAGCCTCTCTCGCCTTTCGCTTCCTGTAACTCTACTCAGGTAATTTTCCCCCTTTTCTACTCCGAGAAAAAACAAAACGTCTAAAAACGAAAACGATTTTTCAAAACAATTCTTCGTTGCTCCTTTTGTTTTGATTTTCTGAAGAAAAAGCAAGAAAAAAGAAAAGGATATCCAGTAAAGAGTTAATAGTAATGGAGTCCAAAATGGATCATTACGAGATCTGGAACGGATTGGTCGTGGAGTTTTTGGCGCTGTCATTTCGTTTATCATAAAATTGAAAAGAACAGGTACTTTTTTTTATTTTTCAATTTCTGATTTAATTAATGTGTAATTTGATTTTTTAACTATTTTTCTTAAAAAAATAGGTATGTTTTGAAGAACATCAGATTGGCGCGGAAAACGGAGCGCTGTAGGAGTTCTGCGCATCAAGAAGTTAGTTGTTACTTTCATCTAAACAAATTAATCTATTTTCTCCTTAAAGGAATAGCGAGTTAATATTCCAATTTACGATCTAGTTTTATTTTTATAGTATGTAGATGTCACTTATTTCGCGAATCCAACACCCTTACGTTGTTCAATTTAAGGAAGCCTGGGTTGAGAAAGTAAGATACCAGACTACTGTTTTTTGCTAGGATTATCGAATCAAAATCTGGCTTCACTTTGTAGCTTGTTGAGTCTGTGACTGCTTCGTTTTTTTTCTGTTGATTTTGTGTTTTGCAATTAATGTAGGGTTGCTATGTTTGCATTGTTACTGGATACTGCGAAGGTGGAGATATGTGAGTTTCCACGTTTGTATGTAGAAGTTTGATTCGGAGTTTTTTGTTTTTAGACATCCTGCAAAATTTGTAGTATTTTATTATTTTCCTGTTTAACTGTTTTTAACAGGGATGAATTGATGAAAAAATCAAATAGGATCTATTTCCCGGAGGAGGAAATATTATCTCTCTATTCCTATTGATTTTACAAGTTAGTTTCTTCTTAGAATTGTGTGGCACGGTAAAAGGTTCCCCGTTGGGGTTTCCGGTTCCATGGTCCTCACCTAATTGTGGAAGAGAGGAGGTGGTTACGACTTACAGTTAATTTCGCTGGTTGTGAACATTGTGCAGAAGCTCTGCAAGTGGTTCGCGCAGCTACTTCTGGCAGTTGAATATCTGCATTCAAATTGTTCTGCATCGGGACATAAAGGTACGAATGTCAATTTACATTGGTCTTTCTATTAACTTATTTATTATGGACTGACTTCAGCACTTTCTTGGTAGTGTTCCAATATTTCTTACCAAATATCAAGATGTTCGCCTTAGTGAGTTTGTCTTTTCCCTTTTTCTTGCTTTCTTACATGTTTTCTCTTTATCTATGTTTCCTATTAAGTTATGTCAGATATCCTACCTAATTGGCTATTCTGCTATTATTATCTTAAATTCCTTTTTGTCTGTATTGGTTTAGGGGATTTTGGGCTTGCTAAAACTCTAAAGGCATATGATTTGGCTTCCTCAGTATGTACATTGTAATGAAATGATTTTTTAATATACATTTTCCTTTAGCCTTTTTTCAACCATATCTAAAATTGAATAATTGTTTTGGGTCATTCTTTTAGCATTTCTTTTCCTTATCTTCCTACAGTTTGGTAATAAGCTTAGTAGCTTATGTTGCAAAGCTCGAAATGCAGTTTTGTGTTCTGTTGGCAGATGCCTTAATTTCCCTTACTTTTATTGCAAAAATTCTTGCATGGTAGCATATTACTCACATTCGGTAATTAATAACATATTCCACTCTTCCAGATTGGCTGTCACAATCTAGCATAGTTACATTTTCTGGAAAAATAATATGATTTGTTAAAATGAACAGGCCTAGTGTGTGCCAAGCTTACAGTTAAACTTGGTGCTAATTTTAATTTTATTGACCGAGACCAAACTGTAACTAATTGTCGAGTAAATTTATAACAATACCAAGTAGATTAACATAAATAATCACTTAATCATTTTTAAGGAAAGAACTAAGCAAAAAAGAATCATTTGCTGTTACCTTAGTATATTTTGGTTTGGCATCATTACTTAGGAACTGAAATATATGCATGTATGCGACTTCTGGGTAGTTAGTCGAAATGTTACATTTGGTGATAGGAGAGATGTATTAATAATTAATCATAAAAGGGCCCAGAATTTGTGCAAGGATTAAATACTGGAGTGCTGTAAATTAGTTGTCACTCATGTTGTATCGATCATAAATATCCAAAGAAATAGCGTATATAAATGTATCTATTGGGTTAAATTTTGTACTTGTCAATCCTTGCTCTCATAAACACTTTTGGACAAAGGAAGTGTGGAGGAGGGAGTTGAAACCTGCACCATGAGCCTCCAATGCAATGAGTATGAGAACAACCACTAGTCTAAAACTCGGTATTCTTAATCCCTTATATTGACAATGAACATACTTATTTACCTTTTGATATCATGTTCTATTTTTGTATTTATCTTATATTAGAATGTGCTAATTATTTAGTTCCAGTGCTAGATAATAGTGGTTTTGTACGTGCCTCAGGTGGTTGGAACTCCCAATTACATGTGTTCTGAACTGCTTACAGATATTCCTTATGGTTTCAAGTCTGATATCTGGTCTCTGGGTATGTCTTTTCTTGAGTGTTTGACTTACATACATGTATATATATATCAACTGAATTGCTTCTTGTTGAACAGGGTGTTGTATGTATGAGATGGCTACTCGTCGCCCTGCTTTTAAAGCTTTTGTAAGAGTTCTCACAAATGTTTGTTGAATCTGCTTCTTGTATTCAGTAATGAGTTTACACAATTCTCTTTCTGACAAATAGCACGAATTCATTTGTTGTTTTATTAAAAGGGAATTTAAAATTTTCTTTTTTATTCCCTTCATGGAACTTTCTATCTTTTGGTTCTGAATTGAGAAATATGTAGCAACCTTTGCTAGGTTCATAACAGTTTCCATGAATTCTGCACTCCACTCTTTAAAATAATGCTTTCAAAGTAGTTAATGATGTCCTCATCTAGTGTGATGTCTTGTCCTTTGAGAGGTTTTCTATAAATTACCATTTGTATGCCTCCACTATCTGTGTAAATTATACAAATTTAATTCCATTAATTTGTTAAACTTCTTATTCTAGGACATGGAGGGTTGATAAGCAAGATAAATCGTTCCTCTATGGGCCCTTGCCTTCTTGCTACTCTCCATCATTGTAACTCAATATTAACTTTAGAGCTCACTCTTATTGTATGTTCTCATGATAAACAAGTATTCTCTGTGATTTTTCATGCTCATACTGTTTTTCTACCCTTGTTTCCTCATTTTCTTTATTCTTTTATGTATTAGGTTTCAACAATGTGCAGATTTCTTGATCAGATTATTTCTTATAAATGTAGGAATTTTTAAATTGGTTCCGTGAAAATTTATTTCTTCTCCCTTAATAAGGCAAAAATAGTGAAGTTTCGTTTAAATTCCCAAGGGACTTGGTGATCTGTATTTTGGCAGTAACACTAAGCATGATTAGTGCTATATATTTTGTCAAGTAATCAAGTCCTTGCTACATGATTGTTAATTTATTTAATTTTACACAAACAAGAAGGCAGTTATCAAGGGCATGCTAAGAAAGAATCCAGAGCATCGACCAAGTGTAAGTTTCTTTTTGCTCAATTCCAAGGATTCTCCACATGCAGGACTTCAATGTAACATTTTGAGTTTTCACCTTGATTAGGCATCAGAGCTTTGAAGAAACCCTTATTTGCAGCCATATGTTGATAAGTATCGTCCATCATTTAGCTTCCTTTCGAATAATTGCTTCTTGGATAAGCATGTTACCAGTGGTCGTGGTAATAGGAAAAATATGGTTGAGAGTCAGAATAGTAATAGCTCATGTAATGATAAAGATAGTTCGGTTTCAAGTCACAGGAACACTGACACAAGGATTCCAAATAACAATAATGAGGCCACTGGCACAGATTCCAGTTCTAAGGAAGAAGATTTGCCTTATTAGTTTCTCTGGTAAAGTTGATGAAAAAGGAAGGATGAAACCTTCTCATGTTCAATCAAAGAAACCCAAATCCATCAAAGGCGTAGTAACTACTTTGAAAGAAGGGAAAGTAAGAGAAAGTGGTTACCCTATGAGAGACGGGCGTACAAAAGATGCATGTGGTTTGCGCAGCTACTTCTGGCAGTTGAATATCTGCATTCAAATTTTGTTCTGCATCGGGACATAAAGGTATGAATGTCAATTTACATTGGTCTTCTATTAACTTATTTTTTATGGGCTGACTTCAGCACTTTCTTGGTAGTGTTCCAATATTTTTCTTGGTATCTTATTTTAGCAGCTAATTAGTGACCATCTTGCACTTTTATCATATTGAGGATATTGATCACACTTTTCATAACTTCTTTTGCTGGTTGCATGAACTGGCTAGTTGTGTCTTGTTTGTGCACTATACAATTTTGTTCATGCTACAACTTATATTTTAGAATATCAAACTGTTTCTTTTATAATAAAAGGGTATTATTTCTGAATGTCATTTTTTTAATTCATCTCTGTTATGTAGTCTCCAAAACCATAGCTGAGGATTCTGCTTGGACATTTGCAAAGGAGAAGGGCCTTGACTTGGTAGCTACATTGATGGTAAACTTCTTGTTATTTGCTTCTATATATTGATAGATTCTGTTGTAAGTAATGAGTGAATTCTTGAATCTAATTACATGTTTTAAGCTGTGGCAATCGATACTATTTGTCGATATATGAATCAATGTCTAAAGGAACAATTTGAAATGTTCGGTGGAGTTGTGAAAGCATTTGACATGTACTAGCACTTAAAATCCAAAATTTGATTTTGTCAAGTACTATAGACGTAACAGGGACTCTCTTGTGGTTATTATTTGTGATATTGTGTGAACAAAGTTGGAATTTTTATAATGCTATTGATTTATGACTTTGCATAATGTTATTATGCTTCAAAGAATGCATATGTAAAATTGGTCATTTTAATACTCTTTAATAGTTCATATATACTTCACTTTAAATTAGTATAAATTATATACTTATTTCATATTTTTTACTTAGGTTGGCGATGGGATAGAAGAATATATGGATGATGACATTGATGATATTCGCAAAGAATGGGTATCTTATGTGGCAAACTTTTATGCCTTGATATTTTGTATCGACATATGATTAATACAATATTTTTGATAACTTAATGTGAATATATTGTATGCAAATGGATTGCTTATATATAATATGGTACATAGATTTAGTATTATGAGGCATCAATGTGATTTAGTTTGATTATTATATCATATATATATATATATATATATCTATAATACGACACGAACGTTTGTCGTCTTTTAAATGATGTGTGCTTCAATGACACGCAATGTAAGTCATATATGCATGTCATAAATTTATGACACACAAATGTATGTCAAGCGATTTATGACGGGGGCTTCAATGACGCACAATGTAAGTCATACTGCGTGTCATAAATTTATGACGCACAAATGTGTCTCTAATTTATGACGGGGGCTTCAATGACGCGCAATGTAAGTCATACATGCGTGTCATAAATTTTATGACGTACAAATGTGTGTCATCTTAATT